CCTGCTTTGAGCAGGGGGTTGGACTAGATGACCTCCTGAGGTCCATTCCAACCCTGATATTATATGATTCTATGATTCCCAACATCGCAATACGCTACTGGCAAAGTATGTTTGGCATCCCCCACTACTGTCTGGTCCACATAGCAGATGATAGCCTGCTATTCCTACCAATTACTATTTTATGTAAGTTGATAGAGATCTGTGGTACTGTTCTAAATATGTTGAGTTCAGACCTTGCAGATGATCCATCTGGGAGGGGGAGAGGGGTCAACATGGTTCCAGATGGAACTTCAGTTTACTTTTTTTTAAAAACCTAGGGAATTACATACAAAATATTACAATAAAATTCTTTCATTACATGATTACGTACTATTTCCTCTACAAGACACCTTCCTCATCAGAATGGCATGACTAAGGCAGAGAGTTAAATGAAGAGGAAGGGCGTTCTCTTTTGCTTAAGGCACTGGAGTGGGACCTAGGAGAACTTAACCTGCCATAGACTACCCAGCCAAGACTGTATAATAATACATATGCATAAATTGTCCAAATTACTGTGCATGGGCAACTTTAATTCTGTCATTTCCTAACTTTCACCCTTTGCAACCTTAATATTCTTTTAACGTAGTTTTCTATATGAAATAAATATATTCCTATTGTTAACTGACAGTTTAGATACCTATAACATTTTATCTATTTTGTGCAGTGTTAGGAAATAACAAAAATAGCCTTGAAGTTAAATGTTCCAGAACAACATTTACTGTTGGACTGTATAACTGGAATAAATTGAAGCAAAAGATATTGAGTTAGTTGTGTTTAGGAAGTCTTCTGCCACCATTAAGGTGCAAACAAGTTTAATCAAAATTTATACATGATATGAGTAAAGATAAATCATCTTTTATATTCTGCAGGTAACATTATACATGAAATGAAAGAACGAGATTGTGGTTTAGGGAGGTATGTATTTAAGCTATGGATATTACTTGCACCCTAAATGTGTATAATTTATTTTATCTTCTACTTTTGCAGAGATGGGAGGAAGAACAAGAATATACAGAAGCCTTCTTTAGAACTCTTGGCATTTATTCAGATGTGTGTGTTCTGGAAGTCCTATAGCAGATTATCTTCTCTGAAGTAAACCCATTCTGAATGTCATCTTGGCTAATCTTCAAAAGCTCAAATTTTCCCCTAATTATGAAATCAATGATGGACAGGTGATTGCTGCAATAAATAGTTTCAGATGTATTAAAGAAATAAATTCCAGATGTAGTATGAACTTTATTCACTTTGCAATGCTTCACTAGGATACATCTTTAAATGACTTCACTGTGTAAATATTATGTGGGATTTTATTCAATAAAACATATTGTACTCATGTGGTCTCTCTTTGCTTTTTCTGTTTTGGGAAAAGTCCAAAGAAATCCTTATTTGGTAACTATACATTTTAAACAAAAATAATGTTGAAGCAGAAAAACTGATGTGTGTGTCAAAATGGCCAGTGGTTGCACACTTTCTGACATTGGGGCCAGATGGTGAGGGCAGGACTTGGGAAACGTGGGATCAATTCCCTCCTCCCCCACAGACTTCCTGTGTGACCTTGGGTTCTCTGTGCCTCAGTTCCCTATCTGTAAAAAATTGTGATAATAGCACTTCCCTACTTCATAGGAGTGTTGAGGATAAATGCATTAAAGAGGGTGACGCATTTTGAGATCTACTGATGAAAAGTGCTGCATAAGAACTTGGTGTTATTTTCATTATTTTAATATATAACCACTGTCATTAATTGTCATTTTTCATCACTATAATGGTCTCCAATAAGACGATCCTAAAGTACTGATTCCTCTCCTCTCTCTTCCAAATTAATTAAAAATATGCAGTGGGAGAGGAGCTACGGATACTGTCCTGTATGGTTGTATATCTGATGGGCTCCGTTACTAAATCTCTCTCTTAGTGTCCATATGTTTCAATTATTTTCACCTCTAGCTGTAGGATATATTCTGATGGTGAATAAACAATGTTAAGTCATCAAAAGAATAGCAATCATCAGGTCTCTTCCAAACTGAAATGAGTGGTGGGAGAAGAAGCTGTGCAGGCGTCATTTTCTGTTAGGGAAGTAAATAGACCTGCAGTATTATAGAAAGGATTTTACAATATAATCTATCAATGCTCACCTTCCCTGTTGTGGAATGTTTCCAAAATCAAACCTCGCTACATAACCTGAAGGGCACTGACCATCCCGAAGAACAAAAAGAATTTAGACCCTCTAGATGTCTTGAGAGGTTTTGCAATATTCAGGTTTACCCAGTTTTTTGTTGGTCATGCCTTTCATGTCCTCATCAAGCTGGGGGGAGGGCTTAGACAAGCCGAGGCAAGCATGGGGATCCATTGTCATGAGGATTCTCTCAGTGGATGGCTGTGTAAGGGGTTGCAGAGCCTATTACAGCATCATGGCTTCAAACCAGAATGGATACCCCTGCACAACCTTTGTTCATCTGCCCACCACCTGCCTTAAGTGCCACATAAGTAGTTCATAGGCCTTGTTTTGGTCCTCTGTGTAGGGGGTGAATTTCATCGAGTCCTCATGCTAAAAATCTGAGATTCTTTTTTAATTGCTGCAAATGTCCAGTTAATTGAACTTCTTCTTGTAGGCAGGGAGTTCCAAATACTCCAAATAAAACTCAAGTTTTGCCTTCAAAACTATGCATTATCAGAGGGGGGAAAGTGCTTCTCTACATTGAACAGCTCAGGGGGATTTCCAGCTTGACTTAGAGAATAAGGCAAAATTACACAAGAGCAAGGATGGCCCTGCGAAGAGGGCATAGCACTGGATATCAGAAGACCTGGGGTATATTCCCAACTTCCTGAAGACCTTGGGTAAGTCATTTAGTCCCTGATCCAGCTCCCATTGACGTCAAAGGGAGTCTTAGCTATTAGGCCAACATTTTTAAACTGGGGTGCATAAACCCATATTTCCTCCATTTATACACCTAAATAAGTGGCTTGGTTTTCAAAGTTGCTGAGTACCTACAAGCTCAATGGCAATTGTGAGCTCTCAACAACTCTCAGGATCAAAACAGTAATCTCTATATGTCTCACTTCCTTCATCTGTGAAATCGGACAGTGCCTGCTTCACAGCAGAGTTGAGGCTAATCATTAATGTTTGAAAGGGCTTTGAGATCCTCAGGTGCTAAGGTGCTAAAGATGATACATCTATTCAGGTCCTACCATCTGATTTCATGCCGTTTATTACACTCTTAATTCACACCTTCAGTGCACAGTCCCACATGGCCCTGCTGGAATTAATGGGGGAGGAAGAAATCATTCTGATGTGATAAACTCTAAAATGAAGCCCAGCAACATGTTTTTAATCCTCCATTAAGATGGCACTCTATTACGTCTTTTTATGAAAGCTATTTATGGGATGTATTCATTTTTTGTATAAAACTTAAACATGCACTAATCATTCTCTATTTCGTATAGTGTTTTATTCCTATGGAAGTTATTTCTGATTTTTTTTATTACTCCAAAACTTACTATAAAAATCTACTGTCTAGAATTTCTAACATAAATAGAAAATGCTATTTTTTTCTATGAATTTTCTTTAAAATTGTTCTAATAGCATATATCAAGAGATTTTAAATACACACACATTACCACAGTAATGTATACTTTATTAACAGTATTAATACTATTTATATTTAATAATATTTCTGAACAACCATATTGTAAGTATGAAATCCATTAACCATGTCCAACAGCTTTATTCTCTGTGGTTTTATTTATTTAAAGTTTGTTGTGTGAAAGTAAAAAGAGATAATAATAATCCAGAATACACATCTTTAGAAAATAAAATGTGTTCTTAACTTTTGTTTCAGTATCCTTTCTCCTTCCCACCCCCAACTCTGTATTTTCAGTGTATGACTGGTGTGAGATTGTAATAATGAAAATCTCACTTTCCATTTTTGGATAACTGGAGTATTTCTCTATGGTATAAATGGTTATTATTCTGTTTTAGAACATGTGTTGCTCTCAAAATCCTGCCTAGATGGCAGTGTGCACTCATCTAACCTACATTCAAGGATGAGTGCCATGAAAAGTATATGTACTAGTAAAAATGTGCAGTCATGGACTGAAAGGGAGGATGCATACTGTATATGCAAATTCAACACGTCACACTAAATCCCTCAACAAGAAATCTAATGTCAAATAAATCAGGGTTATTAACTATCACCTTGTCTCCTAAATGTCTGAGGAGAAAGTAAGATTTTTAAAGCAATCGAAAAATTCTCATTCATTTCAGCATTCAGCAGGGGGACCCATTTGCTTCCTATCTCATCCACTTACATAATCTAAATTGTCCTATACTTTTTAACCTACAAACAGTAGTACATACCAGATACAAGAAATAAAAAGAGAAGGACTCTCTCACATGATTTACAGAAAGTAACAGGCCTTTTATTGATGGTATGTGTATCCAGAACAAAACCTAGGAAGCGGCTATCATTCTTTCTGCTCTTTGTCCAATTACCATAAAGTACTAAAATCCAGAATGTAACTCCAAAGATATTGTTATGATATACCCTGAGATTATAATAACATTACTTTGTGTTTTCATTTATAAACTATTTTAGATTCCCATTGTTAGAGATATTTGAAACTAGCACTAGTAACTTTTTATAAGAACTGCAGAAGGTCCTGAGGGATGGACTAGAATAGAAATAAGAAATTACAGTACCCCGGTAGCTGCATAAACCCACTAATTCCAGACCAAGGTCTGACACACTCATGTCTACCTATCTAACTAGGTTAAGACAATGGTACCAGAGCAACTTCAGTGGAACTCCTTAGAATGACAGCTACTCATTACTAAAGCTCTAATTCAACTCCCATTGAAGTCAATTGGTGTCTCTCCCTTGGAGCTGAAGGAGCTCAATGTGTTTGCAGGATTGAACCTAAAATCTATGGAGCTTCTTAGCTACTGAGGCCAAATAGCTACTTAAGAAGGGTGGTGTCCACCGTGCACTGGTATATTGTGGAAGGTCAGCACTAGACAAATAACACCAGCTGCAGGAACTAAAAGATTTTGTTGGGAAAGCTCATGGGGATTGTTATC